ACATTGCCTTCGTCATATTGTTTATGTTGTCTTTGACATACGTGACAACCACAGCTCTTTTATTTATTATAACAAGTAACATTTACAGTAAAAAATGTATGTGCGAGGTGTTGAAGTCCTGTCAATAGTACTATTGAAAATACGACATTCATCGGAAAACTTTCAGAGTACCTTCTTTGGCTTTATGAGAGTAGCCTTTACAATATTTTTTATTCCAATTATGTGGTAGTATAATTAAATATTCTTCTACATATATCTGTGAGACATTTATATTTGTTTTTTTTTCGGGGTAAACCAGTGTCAAGTGCAAATCAGTGTCCTCGCTATAGTCACCGCATAACGCGGCAATGATAAAAAAAAAGTGTAATAAATTTAATCTACTTCTAATAATGTAAAAGGTGTGAAAACCTAGATTTCTATATAAAAACGCTTTAATATTAATCATTTAATTTAATATTTGCTTCAGATCATTTTGCTCTATTTATAATACTGTTTCGAAGAACTTAATTAATTAACTTAATGCAATAATCAAACAGTTAATTAACGTACAAAACAATATCCATCTTTAAAAACTAACATACGACTAACAACTAATACGTTAACGAAAAAGTAAATACCTAGAGACCTATTATTAGTATAGACAATCGGACCACATAACGAATGTATCGATTAATATGCATGTATATAAAAAAATTACCATAAAACATTCCATGTGTAATGAAAAGCTTTTTTTAACTGTGAGATTTAAAAAACCTAGTGATTGAAAGTGAAGTTAATACCTAATAAATGCTTAGGCAATAAAGACAAATTAGTTTTATGTACATTGTCATTTTATGAATGTTTGTTTGATTCGTTCTATGGGATTTGCGTATGGTATTATTACACAGTTCGCAACCCTTAAATCGGCGGGTTGAAAGTACATTCAGTCGTTCCACAGTCAGATGTCGGCGGAATCGTAACTAGATGGCGCCGTGGCAAAATTAAAAGGCGCTATGGTTTCATTTTCGTCACAGGCTTATACTCTGCCCGTGCGAAATCATGTTCCATATATTAATCATAGACTGTTTTTATATGTATAGTTTATGGGAATGATGTATTAAGTCCTCATCAACACATATATTTTTGCATGTAAATTGATAGTAATATATCAATTTGCACTATAATTCAACTATCAGTAGGGTTAAAGTATCTGTATATACTAGGCACTAAACCAAGTTGTACAGATTACTACGATGTTGTTTTGTTACTGGTTACTTTGATTGTGTTATTTATATAATTGTTGTACAAATATAATAATTGTATAAGTGTTACAATTTAGACCGTAATTGTTGTCAATTCTATCTTGTTTTATTGGAGCTTAAATATTTAATTTTCTTTCTTAAGTGGTATTTACTTTCTATTTATAGACTATTTATAGAGAATTTTTACGTACATATGTGGTAAAATAGGAAGACTATGCCGATATATGTATGTAATTTATAATTTTGATCTTTTAATTGCTAACATATTTTTAGTAACTACTTGAGCATTGTTTAATTTTAGAACGATTTTCTGTTGCTTTTCTTAATTCCTAAAATTTTGGGTAAGAAGTGGAAAAAATTGGTTAGGTAATTATTATGGAGATTGTAAAAAGTGGTCAGGGATCCACCCTGTCCACCTCTGTCTGTTTATCTCAATGGTCAAGCAGCTTGCTTTGTTTCGTTTAAAGTGTGCGATAAAGTAATAACAGGATAAGAGGCATGATATTGAAATCTCCGGAATGTTATCGCATGCGATGTAGATATCCTGGGCTGTCTGACGGACATCACGTTATCATATATCTATGATAACATGATGTCCGTCAGATTATTCGCTTATGAATACAAATGTTTTGAATTGTTCGTGGAATTGAACCCGCGACCATCGAAAGTAAAGCGATGTGCTAAACAGTTTCTCAAGTACATTATATTTTAATTCGTAATTTATAGTTACTTTGATCTTGGTTCTGTCTATGAATTGTAAGTATATTTTTATTGCAAACAATATTTTTAATAACTAGTTTATTTTAAAATATGAATTTAACGAGCGGTTTTTTCTATTGATTGGCGAATGCTTCAATGCTAATATCCCAAGGTGTGAATATAGAATAAGATTTCTCATTTTTATGCTGTATTCAGGGCTAGAAGTTGAGGTTATTATTCACAAATAGTATACATTGCAGGTTGACTTTTAGGGAATTGTGTCTAAACATCATGAGGTCCTCAGTGATTATATACATAGTGGTATACTGCATCTGTTTTAATATTTTTATTAATCCATCTTGGAAAAGAAACAAGTTCATTCTATCAGTGCTGTAAATAGATTTATATAGGTAAACTAGCTGTCCCGGCAAATATTTGTTTTGCAAAATAAATTAAATCTATTAAAAATAGTGGTCGATGGTAGAAGGATGAATGATGGTGTAAAACCGCCATTAACACTTAGGGGTATAAAATTTTTTTATAAACCAATTCTCAGACCTACTGAATATACATATAAATTTCATCAAAATCTGTCTAGCGGAGGAGTATAAACACGAAACCTGTGATACGAGAATTTTAAATATTTGATATTTTTTACTAAGTAATAGACATATGACAAGTATAAAACAACTAGTATTGTGCAACGAATATGTGTATCGACAAATACATACATGATAAACAATTACCAATTGGACGCTACGCATAATGGGTACTTGTGTATTATTTGCTCTGTATTTTTGTACGTGCTATGTACCTAATTGAATTATATTGAAACAGGTGCGCGATTTATTGTTGCTTCAAGAACAAGGTTCTATCAAGGCGTACACGTATGTGGTGATATTAAAAACATATTGTACATATTTGTACGCAATACGAGCAAAATGCGTCTAAAATTGTGGTTTCGGCAATAAAATTATTTGCATGTCCAATCCAATGTGAAATTTAAAGGTATAATAAAAATAATTGCACATCTTAAGCGCTTTATGTAACGTAGATTTATTCATATCATAAAGTTATATTAATATGAACTTGAGAGTGTAAATTGCGAACTTTTAAAGATAATTTCCTTACTATGAGGTTTAGGCAATTATAGGCATAAATTAATGTATTATTCAGTAAGACTATAAAAAAGTAATATTAAAGACAAACAATAATACTATTATCAATTTTACTACAGACGTTAACAATAAACAAAAGAATATATATGCGTGTGTTTCAAATAGATAGTGGTGTGTGTAACGTTTTTTTATTATTTAATTTATTATGCATAATTTTATATAATATTAGTATTCTACACTCTATTATATTATTGTATATTTTTACTCCAATGTTCAATACGAAATTTCATACCCCTCCGTGCGCACAATTTTCGTAAAAAATGGGGTACGAAGTTTTTACTTCACGTATTAATATATAATAATAATCTCAGGAAAATTCACAAAGCGCTATCTAGACCCAAGTTAACCTAGCTAAAGCTTGTGTTATGGGTACTAGACAACTGATACAAATACTTAGATATTTTTTTTTGTCGTAAATACATACATATTATACTTTGAAAACACCCAGACCGATACAAACAATCATACTCATGAATACAAATGCTTCCACTATGCGAGGAATCGAACCCGCGACCATCGGAAGTAAGGCGGTGTACTAAATCGCTATACTAGACCACCGAGGTCGTAATGGTAATTTCGAATTTGATCGTTGTAGACTTTGTTCAAAATCATCTGCCTCATGCCGATGATGGGTACATCTATCTCACATATTTCGGTTAAAGGCAGTGAAATAACATGGTACTAGCCATGAATCACAGTCCCCCGGAATGGCACGTATGAGACTTTACATGCTGGCATGAAGTTGTTGATGTTGTCCTATGTAAATATATAGACGGTTATCACTTACCATGAAGTGGGCTGTCAGCTTGTTTGCCATTCCAATAACAATCCAGGTTGTCTGTAAGAGATAGTTTATAGCGATAAGACTAAATTTTGTTTTTATTTGCTGTTTTTCTTCTTGTATTTTATCTCTGTGCACAATATATTTTATTATTATTAACAAAAAATATTTTTATACTGATTAGCTATTCTTTTTTTTGTGCATGTTGCATGCTATGTTTTAAATAGGATAATTCTGATATGTGTCAGTGGTTCTCTCAAACCGATGATGTTTCTTGTATGTATATTACACTGTATCATCACTAAAACTTAAATAGACATCCATACTTATTATTGCGATGTTATTTATCAACCAGTCTTCTATTTTATGTTTGCACATGCGTAGCGAAGTGCTTGTCTAAATGTGATGAAATTTTATTTGTTTTGCAAAGCGATTATCTGTATATATTTTAATTTTTAATATATATGATATATATAGCATTTCCACGCTTTTTACTCAGCTTTAGTGTGTATGTATATATGTGTATTTTCCTATATATGTCTATCTATATATGTTTTTCTATTTATTTCTGAAGACATGATGTGTATTGTCATATCGTTTTTCAAGAACATCAACATGTAATTATTTTATTTCTTTATCTTCATGCCAGATCTTTTGCGGGTAAACAGAGGTTATTGGACATACTGTCTAAATATTTATAAACGTGCCATACCTTTGCTCCATAGGCTTTCATCTCAGAAAAAGTGTGTGTCTTAATAGCATTAATTTTTAGTAACATTTACATATTTAAAATAATATATTTCTACCATATAATCTTATCAATAAATGAGCACATTTCAGCTACAGTATCTGGGTATTTAAGAAAGGTTGCACTAACATTCATTCTGAGCAAATATGCATGATATCTATGCTTAGCCCATGTTAATTTGCTTCTGTATTGTACTACATCTACTCCTAGATTAAGCACAGACTATTCTTTTCTACGATTGTCAACTTTCTTTTACAGAAAAAAAAGCAAATTATTTAAATAAATAATATTGCATAACATCTTTAACAATTTCGTAAACACATTATTTCAATGTATATTTATTTTGATTTCAGGACGAAACTGGTAGGTTAATGAGACGAAACATTGTAAGATACGCGATCCTTGCATATGTTATCACACTCCAAAGGGTATCTTTAAGGGTAAAACGACGTTTTCCAACTTGGCAGCATGTTGTTGATTCTGGTAAGTGACCTGAACTCTAATTGTGGCGTCCATGCGATTTTATTTACGAATGATCAATCTCGCTATAGCGAATTCTAAGTATTCATTATTCACAATATTCAATATGATGCCCGCATGTGCAAACTGCAATAAAATATTGTCAGTAGGAACCTCATCCAATATAAATATAGTTTAAATGAATGCATCCTTCAATTTGATATTAAATTAATTATCTATATTTATCTATTTAGTCATGCTCAAGATAATAAACTTTTTGTTACAGGCCTCATGTTGGAAAGCGAAAGGAAAGTTTTCGAGAAAATGGATGGAAAAAGTCCAATGTCAAAGTACTGGATGCCTCTTGTATGGGCAACAAATATTATAAACAGAGCTAGAAAAGAAGGTCTAATAACGAGTGATCACATAGTACAGACTTTGTTGGTGGAACTATCAGATATCAGACGGCGCTTGGGGGCATTGATCGGATACGACACAGTGTGTGTTCCTCTAGTCTATACTCAGGTTTGTAACCAGTCCTTTTATGTCTCAGATTTAATATTGACCAATAATTAAATTTCTTTTTACAAATTAAAAAGTAAAGTACACAAGTAAAAACCACTTTTTTATTAAGCTTTTATGTAATCTCCCAATTTTTAAAATTATCCTTGTTAATTTCTAACTGAAGGAGAATTAATTTTATAGTACTGCAATCCAAAACCTTAAAATAACACAATTATTAAAGAAGGAAAGTTAAAAACCTGTTTCTATATCTATATATAAATATAGCCCTAACTAAAGAAACAATATATACCTAATTAATATTATTATGTATTATTAAGATATATTATGATAGATATTAATGGGATACTCTAGTGATTTTTTTTTATAATTGAAATGCCAAAGAACCTTGCGGTCCTGATGGTAAGTGGAAATAGCCGCCACTATACAATATATACTGAACAGTGCTACAGACATCTCCAGACACCTTCAATTCACATTCGTTAATGTTCCTGAAGTCTAAGATATCTCGCTTTTATTCGGTAATTTTATTGTCTTATCTCACCCTTCCACCGGGACATATAAAACAAATAAAAAATACTTTTGTGATACTGGTATACCTACGCAGACATGTCTACCTCGGTATAAATTGCTATCAATATGGCTACTTGTCCCCGTAACTAACAAATCTCTCCCCCCACCCTGCCAAGTACTATTGTTACTTAAATCTGAGTAAATAGTCCGATAATACGTAATAACCTGTTATTGATGCTAAAGGCTGTGTAATTATAAGATATACTTAGATATAATTTGTACACTTAGTTCAGGGTCGAACGTCATGTCCAATCGTTGTACAGAATTAATTTCAGTTGCTTTAGTTTTAATAGTTTTACTATAATAAATTCGCGCAGATCTAATCCATCGCTATATTTTCAACCGTCTTTAAGAAGGAGTTACTAAGTAACGTCTGACAGATTAACATGTTACAATGGAAATAAAATTAAAAAATAATAATTCTATCGTTAAAGTTTTTGAGGTTGGAGTGGGTAATGTCTGGTAACCGATTTTGGAAATCCTGTATTGGTTTTACTATATGAGGAAGGTAAGTTATAGGCTATATAACATCACAATGCGATCTCTATGAACTGAGCTGCAATGAAAAATGTAGCAAAAGCTAGGGAAATCTAACGCTGTTTTAAGTTGCGCGGATTAGCTTGTTTACATTAATTTGTTATTTTAAAATACAAATGATGGACTCGCTGATCCGCATTGAGGGTCTCCCATAAATTGCCTCACACCAATTTCAGTAAAGCCCTCCCCTTCTCCTCTGCCTCAACTTCAAAACCTCCGGCAGTCTCCTAGCAGGATTGACGGGTTTCTAGATTTCATAACTCCTCCTCGAACTCCATGTCATGTAATGTCCAATTTGTAAACCCTCCCCATACCATCATAATATGTAACGTAATTTGTAACTGATAATAATTACAGAAAAAAGTTTCTGGTGAAGATAGACTAAGAAAAATACAAATGCCGGTGTACGAGACGTGTTAGGTTATGCGATTTGAAATATGGGCTAATTCGTTCCAATGATAACAACCGTAACATAACAATTATCTGGGCATGCGGGCGGCGAGGTCTCACGTTTCTACTTCGTTATACGTGACTCTGTGATATGTTCTGCTGTTTTGCTGTATGTTGTCAATACAATGACTTGCTAAGAAATATTAAACTATTGTTACTAATTATAATACTTTGTTCTTAAACATCTTAAACTTAAATCTAGAAGTCTTTATTTGCTAAGTCTTTATTTTGTCCTAGTAATAGCGATTGGAAAATTATGAATATTTGCATAAAATAAGAGATCTAATTACGTTATATTATAAATATCACTATGCCTGTTAGAAATATGGAAAACAATTGATTTTATAACGAATAATGAATATATTATAATTATAATAAATTTATAACGAATATATATATATATTGTGAAAAATTCTTTCGCCATTAGAATGCTATTTTAGCCCTAACTAATATTAGGTACACCAGTCAATGACCAAATTCTTTGTATGAAGACACTAACTAACTCCTTACTCACTGAAACTTTGTAGTTGGATAATTTTTTAATCGTAATGTAGATACATAGATTAAGATTACTATTTTTGCCTCCTGTAGAAAAAATATCAGTCCAAATCCTTCAATATATGCATCTCAATTTATATTATTAAGTGTATAAACGTAATAATTTTTCATCGTACTTTAGAATTACTTTTAAGTATCGATTTAAACTCTTGATAACAATTTAAATTTCTTATTATTATAGCGTTATGATTATTTGTCCATAACTTATATATGAATAATTACTTTTTCAGGTGGTAACACTGTCTCTCTACACATACTTCGTTGCTGCTCTTATGGGACGACAATTGGTTCCGGCTGCACCTGGAAGCACGTCAAAATATGAACCTGATGTTTACTTCCCACTCTTCACAGCTCTACAGGTAGTTGTTTTTATAAATAAGAATGAAATAATGCCCCTGTTAAAGATATAAGCTGAAGAGGCACCAGTGGAAGACAATTGGAAGAAAATAACAATAGATTTCATCAAACCATGATCAACCTGATATGGTATCTACATTTTTAGTAATAAGGCCACTAGTGAACACCTCTCTTTTACCTATGTCCTCCACCAAACACCTAGCTTAATAAGTTGAGTATTGGTTTAAATTATATCCGATATCACTGCCAATGCATATAATATATGACAAGTAATAGAGTGCTTAGTTCTCGGCAACATGAGAGACAGAGATTGCTTATTCTTGTGATGAGTCTGCGTTCCATATGGATGGTAGAATAAAAAGTATGACTATTCAAAAGTGCTTGTATTGAGTTTATTTGAATAAAGAATATATATATTTCTATACATCTGATGTAAACTGAAAACTCAAACAAAAACTCAAATTTATTTATTTACATAGGACCTTTCGCCCTTTCAGCCCGTTCAGCCCGTTCACGTTATATGCTATGTCACGATCCCCACCGGTCAGTTCTGCCTGCCTCGGTGGTAGAAGTAGTGGTTTAGCACATCTTCATTATTGCTAGATATTTTTTATATCTAAGTACCCATAACACAACCTCAACTTACCATGGGACTAGATGCCGCTGGGTTGTTATTATTATTAGATACTGTAATCCTATTATTCTTTTTCAGTTTTGTTTCTACGTGGGGTGGTTGAAAGTAGCTGAAGTTCTTATCAATCCGTTTGGTGAAGATGATGATGACATTGAACTGAATTGGCTCATCGACAGGCATATAAAGGTAAAAAGATACACACGTATCGTTGTGCCTACACTTGTAATATTTCTATCAACACTCGGTAGTCAAAATTCCATTAGTCAAATTAAGTGTAAAATCAATCCACGTTACAACTCCGTGTCGAATGTACACGTTTTTTTATGCATGATAATGGAATGGCGCGCCCGCCTGCCCTAACGGTTAACGCTGGTGGGACGCCAGTGGAGGATGATAAGATGAGCATAAGGTCAGGTCAGTTAGCCCATCGTGATAAATGTACCAAGTATTTATCACGATGGTTTCCTGGGGAACCGCATGGAGGTCAACCTGACATTGGTACATTGCTAGCAATAAGATCATCAGTTCACGTTACTAACAATCCCCTTTTCCGAATCTCGAATGTACGCATTACTAATAAGCCATGTAGCATACTATCAAATAAACTTGCTAATGTAGTTCAATTATTACCCCTATAAACTTACTCCCTAGATAATACAGGAAACAAATAAATTAAGTAGCGACACCTCATCACATCATATTTATATAACGCAACATTGGTGAGGTGATAACCATCGCAGCACAACGTCAGAACGTTTGTCCCAGTTAGCGTTCAGTATCACTCGATTATTGACATTGTCCATTTGTTCAGTATGCATTTTGCTTGCCTCTTCTGCTATTTTGAATACAAATACACTCCTATTTTAATTCAAAGTCGCAGAGAACAAGTGTATTGGATTACTCTTTGGTTTGACATCAGTATTTTCTTCACCAAAGTCAGAAATATAAATGAACGACTAAATTTGTTATTTCTGGCCAATGGCCAGATATTAACTCACCATTTCTTATGTGTAATTCAGGGCAGTAATCCATTACGCCACGATACAAAAATTAAATAGAATGGAAAAAAAATTATTAAAGCATACACCACTACTCATGTCAATAGCGATGATTTTCGCAACATATTTGTAGTAATTATGATATAAAAATAGCAGTATTTTATGTTAAGAATATTGTTAATAATTTAGTGAAATAATGACAATTAATTATAATATTTTGAGGTTCTGTGTCTATATTTTAGAGCGTCACAAAATAATTGTAACAAACTGTATGAACGTGCTTTATATTTTTGTTATACTGCAATAAATATTATCTGTAGTAGTATTTATATATCTGATTTTGTACTATATGTATTTTCTGCAGTAATTTAACCGTATGATACTGTACATATAGAGTATATAAAAATATTCATTGATGTTATTATCCTATTTCATTTAGTACTTTTATTCATCTTATGATTTCTCTTCTAATCAATGAAAAGATGGTAAAAGTTTTTAAGTTTAATTCGCTTGGATGTCGTTTCGTCACCAGATGAACAGCTCTACGAACAACACGTTATCTTGTGATATCTGATATATACTTATGCGTTGCTATTCCAGATAACTAAGATGTCATTATTCTTTAATTTCACTGAGATATCCTTGCAGATTACTTTCTCCAGACTATCTTTGGTAATTTTGTTCAATAAAATGACATAAAAGGTCCTTTTGTCATGTCCGCGTAAATTGCGTATGCAGACGATTTGTGCAGATTATTCCTTAATTATAAGCACTGACCAATTAATTCTTCTATTCTAGGCAGCCTATATGATAGTCGATGAAATGCATGAGGAACATCCTGAATTACTGAAGGACCAGTACTGGGAGGAAGTTGTACCAAAGGACCTGCCGTATACAGTGGCCTCAGAACATTATAGACGTCACGAGCCGCCATGCTCAGCGGATCACTACAAAGTGAAAGCTGAAGACGCTGTGTATGCTAATGTACAAGCACCGAGGAAGAGTCATGATGAAACTTATGCTGATTATGTTAGTACCATCTTAATAATTTACTTCGGTAACGGCCAAATGGCCGTTGGGGCAGTAAAGTCCTTGAGTGACGACTGCGAACCGGAAGACGCAGCGTGAGAAGGCCTTCGACAAGGTGGACCGACGATTTGGTTAAGATCTCTGGAAAGCGTTGGCTGCGAGCAGCGCGGGACCGATCGTTGTAGAGATTTTTAAGGGGGGCTTTTGTTCAACGGTGGTCTTCCGGGCTGGAATAATAATAACACGGACAATTCACATAGAGCCACCTAATCCCAAACTAAGCAGAGCTTGTGTTATGGGTACTAGAAAACTGATATTAATACATAGATTTTTTTGTAAATATACACAGAAAATACCCAGACCGATACCAACAATTAGACAAATGTTCGTACCGTACGAGGAATCGAATCCGCAACCATCGGAAGAAAAGCGGTGTGGGCTTAATGGCTAGCCCACCGAGGCTGTCTACCGAAATAATGATGATGTTGAACTTACTACCATTAAAATAAACAATCGGGCCTTTTTTTTATACCATGGAAATGGTGGCAAACAAGCATGCGGTGATTATATTAGTCTAAGGACTCCTTAAGGACTATTGGTGTCGAGTTAGATATAACAATTTGATTAATTTGAATTAGTTTTGAACTGAAGTAATTGAAGTTTGTAATATGTCGGGATAGTAAACAACTAGGTTAATATACTGTTATTAATGTAACAATGGATCATATTTAATGACATATATACTTGAAATAAGTCTGCCTTCTGTCACGGGTTGCCACCAGGAATGTAATTTTACCCCATTTATTGATATAAACAAACTATCTTCAATATATACGTTGCTACCATATTCTCGTTAGTTCCTTGTACAGAGCACATAGTATTAGATTTTAAGATGTATATATGTAATATAAGGATGGTTTAAAAAAAATTTTATGTTTTAGATATTTAAAAAACATATATTCATAAACAAAACAAATATTCAGTTTTGCATAAATCGTCCATTTATACGGATTAACAGTAGTAATTTTGAAAGGCTCTGTTATACAAAATCCTTTCGGTTACAGTATTCTTTGGTAGGCGGTGATATAAGGGCTGAATGAATTTCCTTGGTGACAAATTTATGAATATAAGAAATGTTTTTTTATTAATCAAATGCTACCAAAACATTATGCTATGGTCCATATCAGTCTTGAGAATAACTTGATATCACTCTTTCTTCATATATACACTATGTCAATAACTATTATCAATATACTGTTAATTCAGTTTAGTCCTTAATAATTTATGTTGATTTGTCAGGAGTTGTCTACCCATGAAGACATAAAAATATTTTTTATAAAGCAGCGAAGAATCAATCCTTATAAATTATCTGTATTTCCTTGTAAATAGGCATTATATGTATGAATAAGACATTTATACATATAATTAATTAAATAAAATATATATATTATATTTAATCTAATAGTTTCCAAATGGTTTTCATGTTTTCAGGAGAGTGTAGATACGCCACTAGTAGAAAGACGGAAAAACTGGTTTCAAAGGCAAATATCAAGAATGGGATCAGTCCGTTCGGCGTCTACAGCATATTCTTCTGGTGGTTTCTTTGGACGAAATCGTCATAACTCAGTGGTGTACTCGAGCCCCGAGGCGGGTCAACCAACCGTGCAGCAGCACGCTCCACAAAAAATGTCTCTCTATGATCGACTAGTGGGACGGAAATCTGGTCGAGGCCAACACCGTCAGAATTCTAGACATGGTATGCTATTACTATTTTCATATTTCATTTATTAATCAATGTAAAAAATTTCTTACATATATGGAAAGTCATAATATACAATAATTAATCATACTATCATACTAAAATTATAAAGAGGAAAAGTTTGTTTGTTTGTATTGTATAGGCTCCGAAACTACTGGACTGATTTGAAAAAATATTTCACCAATAGGAAGCTACACTATCCCAGAGTTTCATAGGCTATATTATATTTCTAAAAAAAATAGAGATCCTTACCAAATCTCCAATAATGTAACCCAAGGTGTGAAAAATTTCACAAAAAATAACTAACACCGCATGCGCTGCGAAAACTATTGATGATAGAATAAAATGATATACTACAACTTTGCAGAGAACATCATTATCTATAAAAAGTGTCACGACGGCATATGTCCATCTATTATAGTTATGATACAATGAGTATTTTTTTTTTTTATAAATTTATTTAAAGTGTCGCCGCTAGAAAAGCATCTTTATTTTGTATCTTGGTATTAATACTTATCAAAATAAAATACCACATATTAACGACTGCTTCAATACCTGTTCTGTAATTCGGACATACCATTCGAAAGATATTACGAATTTAACAATGTAAACCTACACTTCTGTCAGCTATAAACCTGCGATGTAGGGGCGTCACTGGGGTATGAGTACACAGGTGGGGGGATACTTGCTTAGATAATACAATCGGGGAAGATAGCGATAGCATTTGCATCGACAGGAATTGCTGCAACTGTCATAAAGGATGGAAAACTACTCATTCTACTTTTAAACTTCCGCTATCCGTAAATCTTGAGCAACAATCTACATGTTATATCCACAAAATAGGGCCTTTGATAAGTTATTACAAGATGCCTCATTGGTTATGTGGGATGAATGCACCATGAGCCATAGATGCATCGGATAGAACCTTAAAAGATCTTAGAAACAACTCTGCTCTCATGGGCTGGATTACTTTTGTATTTGCTGGAGATTTCTGACAGACTCTCCTTGTTATTAACGTCTCTTTTATGAACTTTAATTGAAAGTTTAAAATTATGGACGAATAAGAGAGCTTATTTTCATGGAAACTGCTCAAATTTGGGGAAAGAATTTTATCCACTCAAAATTTAAATAGAAATTGTGATTTATTTCTGAATGAGTAGGGTGGGTCCAGAAATAAATCACAATTTCTAAATTATGGATGATTTGATCTAGGGTGGTCAAATCATCCATAATTTAGAAATTGTGATTTATTTCTGGACTTTGAAAGATGATGCATAGCCTGATATCGAGAATTTGCACAAAAAAGGCTTTCATTGTCATCTAGGGCTACCTAACAATGTGTTACCTAACAATGATACTGTCAATATCCGAATAATATACGAAATAATCTGATTATTCAAAAAGTTCCCGGACAAATAAAAAATTACAAATCAATCGACACCGTGACTAATATCGAAAACGCAGTTCATTAATACCATACGATTTGACGTCAAAAATCGGAATTTCTCAAAAGTGATCCAATCATGATTTTGAGAAATGTAAATCCATCAGAGGCTGCATACTAAGGAATTGAAGGACAATTTAATTGTTGCCACCGGCACGGGCCCCGGCAGCCGGGCTACTCGCTCATATACCAAGAATACCGATGACCAACTTATCTGCCAATACCATTTAAACGGCTTCAATTTCCGGTTAAAATATCGTAATAGACCTATGTATGTTTTGATCTTAAAAACCATCACGGATTTTGATGCGTTTTTTTTTAAAAGACAGAATAGATACAGTGACTCAAGAGGAAGGTTTAGGATATATAACGTCCCACTACATGACACGGATCTTTAAACGAGCGACAACCTATATATTCTATGTCCACGCGGGCGAAGCCGCGGGTGGAATGCTAGTACATATATAAATTCAATTATATAAATATATTATTTATTAATGTAATTCTAAAGTAATTACAATTACATTAATTAATAAAATTGCATTAATTAAATACGTACTCAATACACAACATACCTAATAACATAATATGTTTCATAATCATAATTACGATATAATATTATGTGTAACTATTCTGTAATATTATAAAAATGACTTCGTCCGCGTGGAATTTAGCTTTATTTTTCTAAAAGAAAATATTTCTTCTTATAATTAGGGTAGCCTCGTTATCGTATTTACATACATATCGTTACATATCGTTATTACATCAGCTACCTGCCATAAAACTCCCGTCAAAAGCGGTCCAGTCATTTCAGCGATTAGCCGGAACAAACAGACAGATGTACAAAATTGTAAAAAATGTTATTTTGGTGTATATATCGTATTTATATTAATATGCATATAGTAAAAAACGGTTATGTGAATATTACAAACATAGACTCCAATTTTATTTATATGTTATAGATTTGAAATCTTAACTTCTATAGTTTTAACAATTTCGAAATGTTCACAACAATTTGCAATCTATTGCCATCTTAAGTTCTAACTTTATTTATGTGGTCTAATCTCTAAAAGTGGTGGTAACACTTTTCCAACGATTGTCATTTTGTTTCAGGTGGTCAAAAGAGCAACGGGTCTGCAGTACCTATAACGTTACGCAACCGACCCCGAATTCCCACACCGGATGTGACAAAAGAGGTAATCGACCGAGAGAGTCGCCTCGCAATGGGTATGCAAAACATGGGGGTCATAATGGCCCACCAAGGTTACCAGAACGAAGTGCCCGTGCTGGGTGCACTGGTACTCTCGCCCATACAAGAGCTGGATAGCGGCTCGGTAAATAATACTTTGCATGCTGGCCAACCGGGCACGGCAGCGTTGGCGCAGGCTGTGCTCTCGCCTTCTGGCATCACGCCAATGTTGACCGCAGCACCTGTGGTGACGCCAGTGACGCTGGGCCCCTTGGGGGTTACACAGCTGTCCATAGTTGGCTCAACGCCATCTACACCTCGCGCAGACCGCGGCACCACAAGCAGCTCACCGGCCCCTACCCGTGCCACTGTCATAGAGCTACCTACATCCGATCGCGACAGCGAACATAGTGCTGCTAGCACTGGCACGCCTCCAGAATTTAAACGAAAAACGAACGGCTCTAAACGCGGAGAGGTCTACGTATAGACGGAAGATAAATGTAACCCCGGCACAATACATAGCTACAACGGTTTGAACAAATGTTGGCGCAAATGTATTTTACCTACAAATGTTTTGAAAACAAGTGCGTTATGTGGATAATACTTTGCGCTAGTGGAACACGCTACACACAGTGCACATATGAACTTTGAAAGCTGTGATATGTGCTAAAAAACAGCGCAAATGTTTGTTCAAATTTGCAAGACATGTTTTGAAGCTATGTTTCGTGCCAGCTTAACAATGACTTGTGGTGCTTTGAAATGTGATTGTTGATTTTGACTGACAACAGTAAATATTGATATGTTATAGATAAAGAAAGCTCATTATAAATATTGTGCACTATCATTGTATAAACTGATTTGATTTTAGGAGCAAACAGGGATTGAATTGTATAAGCTTTCTATAAAATATTTTCTATATAACTGATTTTTTTTATTTTCAACCTTCATAATTTAATTCTCCTTTGTTATATAGGGATGGAAGAAAATATATGTGTATTTTTTTAGTGTATTCGTCTAAATGAAACACGTGGTCGAAAACAAGGTCGTTATGTTTTAACGACCTTGGTGGTCTACTGATTCAACACACCACCTTACTATTGATCACGGATTCGATACCCCGCACGGTACAAGCATTTGTACTTATGAGCCTCATGTTTCTTTGTATTTATACGGGTGTTTTGTATGTATTTAAGTATTCCTATTAGTTTATGCGGCGCTATGTGATTTGCTCTAGGTTAATATTATTATTTATCAAATCGATGTTGAAATTGCAAAAATATAACCGCAAGTAACAATTGAAATCAATAATGACTTTTAACATATACTACTGGTATATGGGAATTTATAATTAATAATGATCATCGTTGTATATAGGTCCTACCTATTAATATTCGTAGGTATAAGTTGTAAAAATAAGAAGAAAGAAAGAAAGGAAACTAATTCTATAAAATAATTATTATGGACCTATTCTACAGAAGAATCCGTACAATTTCGTTTTCTTCTCGTCTAAATAGATGCAAGACAGACAATAAATAATTTAAAGAAAAATTAATGTAGGTAAAGGTAAATTTGAGCATAACTTCCACTGAATACAGATGTTTTCTAAAGAAATATCTTTGTCATGCCTCTGGACTTTAATTACAAAATTTGTTTTAATTATCAAAAATTTAGAAAGTGTCAGTGATTTATTTATTAAAATTTATTTACGTAATTATTTTGATTATTTTTCATAACAGAATCATGATATTAAAACTAATGACGAAATTTAGTGAAAAGGTTTAAATATTTTACTAATCTCAAGAATACGGTTTAATTATTTCAAATATTCGGAGTTAAAGAGCGGCATATTTTGCGCAGGTTCTGTTTTCGTTTCCGGTATAGACTACTTACTTCCCGTTTAATGTCAAACTAGGCGTAGACTAACTACTAAACTCCAGAACAATATCTATTACTAGGAGCTCTGTGCTCTAAAGTGTTACCTGCGAAGAAAAATTGTATTATTTACCAAATGCCAAAATATCGCATACAATTTTACGAGGACGAATATATATTTTTTTAATTCTTAATTGCACAGTAAAAATTGTACAAGAGGTGATCTTAATGTGATATGGCATTCTATATCACCTAACCTTTGGGTAGAACTAAAAGCGTTGTGGAATATGTCCCCGTACTTCCAACCGAACACCTAAAATTTATTTGTACCAAGGATCGTTGTGAATACAGGTGCTAAGTAGTAACAGCCCACACAACCACTATATAGTGGTCACAAGATTGTCTCCCACTGTGGCTGCAGATTGTTTGTGCGGGGAATAAAAGAGACAAAACTACTTTTGCATACATATTTTCTGTTGTATTCTACATTGTTAATTGTTTTATCTACTATTACCCTCGTATAGAATATTCTATTTTTATGTACTCGTGTATTAATATTGTTCCTCACATCTCTTTCTCTTCTTAGTACTACGGATGTGTACTAAATGTGAGGGATATTTAGAATCTGTGGCACTATTCTTTGCGCGGGAGAATTGAAAAGACTATATATATACATATGTTTACAGATACAATAAAATTTGATTTGCCTTTAAGGCTAATTGATTTAATGTTAGGGATTCAATTTTTTTGGGAGTTCATAGATAACCCTGTTTGCCCATTCAGACAGCTATTAACTGTATAACCATTTTCTGTGTAAAAAAACTACCATTAAGAAAGTACTTGGTATATATTTTATGGTAGTTTTTTTAATGTACCTATCACCCAAAACCTTATATCATATTGCTAATCATGATAGATGCATACGCTTAAAGAATTTAGAGAACTAAACTTAGTATTAGATAAACTATAGTAATAAGTATGTTGAAGACTGAAAATGCCCTATTAGTTACTCATCTTCAATATCATAATATATATGTAGTCAGTTCTCATATTATATATATCATATATATCTAAAAACATATACGTCCCTCACATTCAACAAGATAACCATAATCAAGCCACATTTTTTTTCTGGTATACTTTACTCTTCATAGACACTATTATCGTCTACTTAATCTGTTTTATGATTATTCATATGACTTATGACAGTCTATCAAGATCTGTCATGCATGATGAATTAATAGAGGATGCAGTTTGTGTTGCCAATATGTAAACTAGATTTGATAATAAACCACACGTCTATCATCATTTAGGCCAATTTTTCTGACTACTATTTTGTTAAAAGTAATAGACCATCATATTTGAAATTATTTATAATGGTATTTAGAGTAATAGTATATTATGGTCGTTTCGCTGAATGACCTGATTTACTTTGGAGATTCGTCTGGAAGATCTGAAACAGTTATAAGTAAATTGTAGGAATTATTGCAAAGATTCACTGTTATTCGCCGTGTATTATATAATTTCACAGCTCACTGCAAAAGAAGCATTTTGTACCGAAAACAATATTTTTTAGTTACGACAAATATAATATAATATATATGATATTCATTGTTTAATTTCAGCTACCTCAAAAAGTTGTTTACTGCGATCTGCCAAAAACTAACTCGAAAATCCCATTAATTAATATAAATATTTAGGAATTATCCCCGAAAACTCACAAGGATTTACTCGACTGTTTATTTCTTTCTTTCTTTCAAAGTTTTATAATTACTTTTAAATACAAGTTTATCTATAACTTGATTTAGAACACCATCTATAATACTAACTTATTCCATAAGTGCTTTATAAGCATTAACAAAATTCCTATTTAAAAAAACTCAGCCCTTATTTTGTGATAAACAATCTTTATTATATAAATTATTACAGTTTTATTATTTAATAATAAATGAACAGAGATTGTTAAAAACAATTTTTTCACAAACAAGGTGCATTATTTATTTCTTCGATCTTTTGTTTGTACCTTGTGGATTTTTAGAGATACGTAGGTTGATATTATATTCATGGGTTTCTTACAATGGAATTAATACTAGTTAAAATAAAAATTAAGATAAATTGTATTGTTTTCCATCATATATTGCTCGATTACATATTGAGGTAGAGCCCTCTGTGAGTCTGATAGTGGAATCAATGTCGTAGACTTATTATAAATAATTTTAAAACTTCTATATCAGTAACTGGTAACTTATCAATTTATACAATTCTTACTCATTATACAAATAACGATATTAAACTACAAATTTATGTAACTAGGTACTTCTAGGTCTTGTTCTGCTAATATGATTCCATTCGTAAATTTCTATATCTAGATTTACGACCTGGAAACTGCTAATGGCAACCCTAAAAGCCTAAGCATAATAAAAAAAATACGCGACCCCGCCCTCCGATCGATATCCAGGATCTAGTGCCCCCCCGCGCAGTGCATCGAATGCAAACTGCACTCGATTGGTGCTCAGTTCGTCGGGTGAATCTGTAAAGACTAGCTGAGGCCTACAGTTTTCAGAAATCTTATCCAAAAAATACCAATTACCAATTTTTATTATATTCCAATGCACATTTTGCATCCGATGCATTTATTTGTGCATTCGTTTTCCGAATTAATGTCGAGTTTCGGGCTGTAACAAAGACTCAATATTAATAGTGAAGTGTCCTTTAAGTGGTTTGGTGTTCTAGAAAATATAACTTCTTTGACTAAAATTAGCCAGAATTAAATTTTCTTTGTTCAGAATTTGAATTAACTTATCGATTTTAGTTATGAATATTATAATAGTGACTGTTTTAAAATATTTAATAAAAGCTAAAGACATTTTTTTTTAATTAAATGTATTCTCTTAAACAAAAAGGTAAATCGTAAGGAGCGCCTCGTCAAAAAGGAAAAAAGGTAAGTAAGCGTTCTTATTAACCCCACAATCGACCCATCCTCCCGCGCCCCCAATCGAAAATCAATATTCCCGCGCATGGCAATTCACCATACTTGCGCAGTAAGGTCTTGCTTGATTGGTTCGCTATTGTCTTGTTTATATACGTACATCAATACAAATTGTACCTCGGGACATTTTATTACTTTGTTAAAATGTAGCATTGGAATTTTTAATCAAGTAAACTTATTTCAGGCCTTTTATATGTATACTATGTTACGGGCCTCGTTGTAACAAAGAATTAATATTAGTAGTGAAGTGACCATTATATGGTTTCGTGTTTTAAAAGTACTACTTTTTCTACTACAACTATATGAATAAAATTTTCATTATTCGGAATTTTAATTTACATGTCAGCTTATAAAATAAATAAATGTTCTTAAAATCTTTAATAAAAAGAACAATATCGCCATGTTAATAAATTTTAGACAGCGTCCTTATTAACCCCACCATCGATCAATCCCCTCGCCCCCCAATCGAAAATCAATATTCCGGCGCATGGCAATCCATCAATATTGCGCATAAAGGTCTAGTTCGCTGCAGTTTTTTGCGAAGTACGGTTTATATAAAGTGTTGTTTTGAGACCTGAAGTGCAATAAAAAATCTACCGTGGGACATTTACTTGGTACAATAATAGAATCGGTCTGTCTGAAGTTATCTGATTTCAAAAAGAAAAATGTTAGTGAGCATTAACCTCCCGGATATCGAGTAAGCCCCCGGCCACCCAATCGAAAATCAATATTCCGGCGCATGACAATTTTCCACTGTTGCGCACAAATGTATGGCCAGGGTTAGTTCGCTACGGTTTTCTGTTGGGGCATGGTCAAATTAGGATCTTGTTTTTAGACTTCAAGTGTAATAAAAAATGTGCCGCGAGATAGTTACATATACTGTTCAATTGTGTTGTTAGGTGTTTTAAATTAACTTAGCTGATTTTAAACCTTGCTATTTTATCTTAATATAAAAAGTTAGTACCCAGGTGTAACAAAGACTTAATATTAATAGTGAAGTGAATTATACATGGTGCTGTGTTTTAAAAG